AATTCTAAAAGAACGAGACTAAAATATCAACTTTATCTTTTTGTGAAATATTTCAAGACTAATTGGCTTGCATGAATTAACTTCGTTAGCTACCGTCGAAACATGATCTAATCAGACTAATTAAACAAGACGATATCTGATCATCGAGGCTAAATCCTAAAAAGACTTAGTTTTCAATCAAGATCCTGAAATAAAGTACTAACCTGAAATCCCACAATGCAGAGTTGTCACAGCTCGACTTTATGTTGATGAAATTATCGCTCGACATGGTATACCGACTAAAATCATCTCTGATCGTGATTCACGTTTCACGTCTAAATTTTGGTCGGGGTTACAATGAGAACTTGGGACGCAGTTGGCCTTCAGCACCGCATATCACCCTCAAACTGACGGGCAATCTGAGCGCACAATTCAGACTTTAGAGGATATGCTTCGTGCCTGTATTTTAGAGTTTGGTGGTAGCTGGGATACCCATCTGCCATTAATTGAATTATCTTACAACAACAGCTACCATTCGACTATTAGAATGGCACCGTTTGAGGCCCTGTACGGCCGTAAGTGTCGTACGCCTCTGTGTTGGAGAGAAACCAGAGAAAAGATACTTGCTGGACCCGAACTTGTACAAATCACACACGACAAAATACAAGTGATTTAAGAGAGAATGAAAGCGGCTCAGGACCGACAAAAATCATACGCTGATCACCGCAGAAGACCGATAGAGTTCTCAGTCGAAGATTTGGTCATGTTGAAGGTTTCCCCATGGCGTGGAGTATTACGGTTTAGAAAGAAAGGTAAACTCAGTCCTCGTTTTATCGGTCCATTCGAGATTATTGAACGGGTCGGGAAACAAGCTTACCGTTTAGAACTTCCCGAAGAATTAGTGAGTATACATGATGTTTTCCATGTCGGCTATCTACGAAAATGTTTGGGCAAATATGAGGAAGTAGTACCATTATCGGAAGTTAAGATAAATGAAAAGCTTCGATATGTAGAAGAGCCCGAAAGTATCTTGAAAGAGCGGACAGTGAAATTGCGCAATAGAGAGGTAGATTTGGTATTAATAAAGTGGAAACATCATCACGGGTCAAATTGGACATGGAAACGCAAAGATGAGATGATGACTAAGTACCCTTCATTATTATTGCAATCATGATTTCGAGGACGAAATCTTAAAAAAGGGGAGGTATTTGTAACATCCAACTTTTTAAAAGTCCATTTAAGTTGCTAAGCATGATTAATTAAGTTAGTATAGTATTTTAGGGATTAGTACTTACTTAAGTTAGATTGGAATATAGACTTCTGGATCGAGTTAGAGGCTGGAATTTTATATTTAAGCTTCTTATATATCAATTAGGAGATCTGGAAAGTTTCGTGCGAAACGGAGTTGAAACGACCAAGTTACGCATGAGGGACTAAATCTATCAACTATGGCAAACTAGGTGGACTGTTGACCAAAACAGATCAAAACCATGCCTAGCTCTCTAAATCAGTCATATTTTCTCACCTCTAGAACTCTCACACTCAAGGTGCAATTTACACACACTTAAGATTAATCTTTCAATCCTTAATGATCAATGTTAGATTCTTGAAGATTATGTGTTAATCATCAAAGGTATGCTTCTAATTACAAGTTTATTTCAAGTAGAAGTGTTAATTTAGAGGCAAGGTTCTGCATTTGAAAGATTATAAAAGATAATGTTGATTAATGTGTGAATTTGAAGCCAAATTGGGTAAAATCTGCAACATGCAGTGAGTTATAAAGCAGGATTTTGACAGCTTTGATGCTGCTGTGTTAAAAATTCATAAAAAATCACAGAAAAATCTTAAAAATGTGAGGTCAGTTTCATTAGAAMGCTTTAAGAGGATACTTTATTTAGTATTTTCAGGTCAATGGCTAAATCTGAGTCTAAGTGTGGTAAAACAGGGGTTGAACAGAGGGCTGTACAAGAAAGTGTAAATAGGATAATCAAGATCTAAAGTGAATAACTTGAGGTTGGGATATAGTTGGTTATTGATACTTGAAATGTTTACTCCAGGGGCTGTTTTAAGGCTATTTAGAGCCTCTTGGACCGTATTACTCAGTTCAGGGTATTGAAAACTTACTTGATTAATTAGATAGACATTGAGTACGCAACGGACAATATGTTAATCAAGCAGGTAGTAATCAATAAGAACACAATGAAGAACTCTTGAAGAACACAGGGAGAAAATGCTTCAAAGGATTTTCAATAGAAAATATC